GGGGGGGCTCTTATTAACTCAAGTAGAAATATAGCTATTTAGAGTAAGTCCTTTTTTCTTAAATGTGACAGTGTCTTAGAAGTATTAATATTGTCTCAAACAACGTCAAGGTTGTAGGAGGACTTAAAACCACATAACAAATATGCTCTGCATAAATAGATTTGTCTATTTGTTCTTTCCCTGTCAGGCCAACAAAATGCATCATTTACACAAACATACTTTTATCATATACAAATTATTATGCATTTTAAAAAACTATTAAAATCTAACCTTTCAGGTCTGAGACTAATTTGGTAACCACAGCATTTCCCTCTGACTTTATAGCCTGGCAATAGAACCACTAAAACAGTGAACTTCACCATTAATCTTAACTGGCTTGTAACTGGTGATCATGTAAATTTGAATTCAAGAAGCAATAAAAGTCAAAGCCCCCATCTTGACGTAACTGAAATGTAATTGCAAAAAGGCAGATGGCACAGATTGTACTATTTTCTTTGAGGACTCAAGCAAGCAAAGAGAAAGGGTGGGGCGGGGAGAGGAAGTAAAAATAAATAGCCATATAAAATAAGATGTTGGCAGATACGCCAGCCTACCAGACATATGTATTTAATTTTTTTTTAAACTTTTTAAAGTTTTGAAAATGACATGCAAGTCAGCTAAATTGCAGTATATGAAACACAAGTGTCACCCTTTTCCTTAAGCTATATCAGAAAGGCACTGGAGTGCTGAAGTGCGACAGGGGGCAAACTCCCAGGCCTGATCACAGTGCTGGCCGCCCACCTGTCTTTGCCCAAGCTGCCTGCCTTACTCACCTGCCATGTCTTGTTGTTAAATAATTAAGATGGTAATTACGTGGGAGGCTGCCCTTCAAAAGAGGGAGAGAGGCTTTCCCTGCTGCTCACAAAGCTGCAACACCCCTTAACTGGAGAGTATGCCATTGGTGCTCCGCCACACACTTTCCCCCTTAAAATGACTGCTCAGGGGTGCGTCTCCCAGCTGCCCTCCTTGCAGGCACTTCTCCAGCCTGCTGCAGCCCACACTAAGTAGTGAGTACCTCAATTGTACTCTGCCACATGAAGTAACTCTACTGATTTTCTTTTTATTTTATTTTTTATTGTTACATTTTTCAAAGGGTCTAATTTGAATCTTACGTCCTTGACTTTTTATGATAGCAGTCAGTTGTATTGGAGAGGAAAGAAGCAATTTTTAGAAAGTTAATCATCATTACAATTTTTATGCAGCTCCATAATTTTCATGGGGCTTTGCAGACTTAAAAAAAAGCAAGGTCCTGAAGTATTTTTTCCACCAGCTGAAGTCATGACCTTGTAAATGGGGAGAATAGTGTCCAGACAGGAACCCATGAGCTACAATTTAACCCCTTATGGGCCAAGAACTGGATAGACCTGGTTTACATAATTGCTCCAATTTTTGGCAAATATTTTCTTTTTTATATTTCATGCACCAAACTGAAACTAAGTATTATACCACTTAAGAACATACTGCATTGTTCTGACTGTAAGTCTCCCTCCCCAATTCCTTCTCCCAAGTAGAACCATAAATATCACATTCTACTTATACACAGGATCAGTCCCCTCCCGCCCCACTTCCCAAGCTTGACTTTTTTTCCAAGCCAGCTTTTATTTTATGTTATGTAGTATTTTTAGTTCTTTTGGGCCCTTTCCTTAGTTATTTGATCTGCTGTAGGATTTTGTTATGGGCAACAGCAATTCAAAGCTTTTATCTGTAGTTACCAACTTATAAATCAGGGGAAAAGCTGTTTTACCTAAAATTGAACCTGAAAATCTGGGGTTGATATGTATGTAGAATCAACTTATAATCAGATAATATGGTAAACAGCATCATAATTAAGACTGATTTTATACTGCCCAAACAGAGATGTTATCAATTCAAGGAGAAGAAAAAACCCCAAACTTCTATATTAGATTTTTGAGAAACCAGGTCCTTTCGGTTGTGACTCATTAAGCACATGCTTACTCATCCTATGGAATGAGGCTGGCCATGACAAATAGCAGCTCTCAGTTTCACTGACTTCTCATAAGTAATCTGAGGACAATGTTGTGAATCAAAGCCAGTTTTTTTGGTGCAGGGAGACAGCTATAAAATTAATTCCAGAGAACTGCAGAATTCCTCAGACGAGGTAAGTTTTCACATGGTTTAGCAGCAGAAAATGTTCCTGCAGTGCACTGATATGAGCTATTTAAATATGCATGGAGTTATAATATTGCTGGTGCCTCCCCTGTGGCATACTATAAAGATAACATATTTACTCAGATGAAACAACTGTCTTAGCATCATAGCTATAAATTATTAGCTCCCCACAAAAACTCTCACTATGCATTTTGAGCCAAATTTTCCTCCCACCCTGCCCAAACCAACGTGCAAGTCATCAAGCCTTATCTTATACAAGACAGCATGGCAGATTACTCTTAGCTCATTGGGACAATGGAGTGATAAAGATTACGGAGTAATAAAGACAGTCTTTAAATATCTTAACAGGGATATTATTTTAAATATAAAAAGACAGAATTTTTTTTTGTTTACCTAATATTTTATCATACAGATTTATAAAGCAAACTTTGTGGCATGGATTTAAAGATGGAGAAAAGGAAGAGATTAGAAAAGCTCAGTTAGAGCAAACAAAACACTACAGTAAAGATGAATGTTGCAAGTAGTGATTGAGCTGCCCCACTGCATATCTTCTGAGACACAGGGATCCCTTAAGTCTTGGGTCACACTGAATGAAGGCTCTGGCACCATCTCCCATGTAATTTCACTCTCATGTGATCTAAAGATCAGTATGTTTTGGAAAAGTTCAAGAATTAAGATTCTATAGGGGACAAGTAGGGTATGGTGGACATGGTAATTTTACTGAACCTTTCTGTAGTCTTTGTTACAGCAGCTCGTTAGATGCTACTTATTTTCCATACCTCATGACAATGATAATCTCACATGGGAGTGACCATACTTATTCTACTCATTCTTTCATAGGACGAAGCAAGTTTGGGAAGCATTTATACTTCTTCCCCAAAGGACTTTGTTTTTGTGCTTTGGAGAATGTAATGCCATTACTTCAACCTGTTTAAACATGCTATAGGACATGGTGGCAAGTTCTGATTTGTAGCATCATATCAGTGTGTTGTTGATGCTCAGCTCAGTGCTTCCCCCTGATCTGTGACAGTGCAGCTGCTTTGATTTTCTAGTGGCCTCCTGTAATCGGGATGGGTTAAAAAAGCCAAAAAAGAATGATTTTGCCATCTTATCTTTACATCACTAATAACTCAAGTGACACTGTGCAAAATAGACATCATACAGCAGCAAATGCATAATAAAAACACTTCAAAACTAACAAAAAAAACCAGGAAAAATGAAGACTATCCATATTGAAAACTATCTTGTATAATAGGCTCAGAAGGAACACTATCCAACAAGGAAAGCTGAACACGAGAGGATTAGAAAAGAAAAAGGCAAACTTGTTAAAGAGTACTCCAAATATCTCTGAGGAAACCTGTAAGGTGTTCTACAAGAGCTTCCTGGGTAAGGAAATTATAACACAGTTGCAAGGCAGCACCCTCCAGCTCAGGAGAAGAGAGCTGAAACTCATCCAACCCACTCCAGAGTTCTGCACTTTCAATTCCAGGCAAACAAGGGGGAGATGCTGCAATCACTTGGAAGAGGCAATGCTTGTAGTTTGCAAGGCCCAAATGATTAGTAGCTGTCTTTAGTTGAATGCAAAATGAGAGTTATGATGCAATACTGAAAACCAACTGGAAAGCTTTTTAAGGTAGTTTCAAAACAACTGACTGACAGAAGCTGAGCATGGGATATATAAATTAATCCAGTTGACGGCTTGTTTTTTACTATCACTCTATAGCAGAGATTCTTAACTTGTGTCCAGCCCTTGTGCCATGTGGTAACTGATTATACCCGTTTTCAGCCAGTGTCCCAAAGACTAGCAGCACCTGCAACCCCACCCTATATTAAGAGTGTTTCAGGTTCTGTGTTCTTACAATCAACTAATTATTGATAAAAATCTGTTGCATTTTACTTTGTCGTAGCAATGAGCGCCATAAACTGATGGTTCTGTACAGTGTTAAGAATTTTTTAGTAAGAGAAAGACTGCAGAGACGTGAGAGGATTGGATTTCCAGCTGCAGGCAATGTTTCAGTGGAGATTGATAAAAACTACTTCTCACAGTGGGAGGGCGCTAGATATTGCAGATAAACAAAAAGGAATTATGGGCAAATGCAGAAGGTGACTGACAGATGCTCAGGGATATGAGCATTCTACTGTTTTGATGAAGTACATGGTGTTTTTCTGACCTGTTCAAATAGCTGCCAGAACTTGGGATGTCGAAGTGTACCTCACTTCTTACAGCAAGTTAACAAGTATACAGTTCTCATTTGGTAGTATGCAATTGTTGAATAATTACCTTTCGCACTGAAGCCAAGCGATTCATCATTAAGGATTCTTCTCTGTCATCCTCATCATCCAAATCCAGCATCGGCATACTAAAGCTATCAATAATACTGCAACACCTTGAGTTTTCATCCCTTGGATCAAAAGGATCCACGATTATTGGTTCAGTTCCTTTGATTTCACAACGGCAGAAAGGGCAGCCCTGCCCATCAGACTCCTGTACAAAAAACCCCAAAGATCTTTAGATGCTATTTCTTGTCTAAAATAAGGTCCCTTATAGAACACAAAATACATTTAAGAATAAACTTACTATCTTTTAAAAAGTCTCTACTACAAATTAATTTTAACTGTTAAATTTTAAACAAATCAAAATAATAGATCAGTATCTCAAAATAAGAATTATGAAGACAAGAGGCCTACATTTTGTCTTTTAGGTTCACATTTCAATACCTGTTTACAGGCATATACAAGAGCATCTAAAAAGCAATTCTTGGTAATGTCTGATAGCATTGTTAGCAATCAAAGGAACAGTAGATTTTCCATTTGTTATTTCTACAAAAAATGAAATCAACAACTTCTTATGCATGATTTGCCTCACATCATTTTATTTGATAATACATGTATAAGCACTGCAAGACAGCTTGCCAGATGGCTTTCCAAGAGGCAGATTTTACTCACCTTACCTGAATAATCACATGACTCCATTGATGAGAACAGTAAAAGGAATGGTCCTTTAATAACAGTCTAAACCAGATCACATCTTCAAGAGAAGTAGCAAGAATAATTGGAACCCCCGCCCCTTGCACTGACAGGCATTATACATGTGTGACCACTACTGCATTTTAAGAAGCCTGATCTGAAGCTTCCTAGAAGTTAAAATAAATCTAATTTAAATTTACAAATCATGTCATGACATGTCGGACATATCACTTAGTTTATCAGAGAGTTAGTCAAGAGTCAGTTGTTAATATTAACTTGTAACCAAGGAGAACTATCCTAAAATCTCAAGCAACCTCCATTCACTGTTTTACAGGACAGAAGAGCAGCCCTTATTTTATCTGACAATTGCTTTACTGTTGCCCATGGTATGTCAAGCTTACTACCTTGACTAATGCTTTATAGTCTTATCAATGTAGGCATTGCATTGCCCTCTAGGGCAGACAATAAGTGGTGCTGTCTCATGCCTACCATTATTTTCTCTAGCATTTCCTTTTGCAATCTTCACACTGTATTTAAGTTTGTAGGTGAAAATATTAAACATTAGTTTTAACTTTAGGAAACAAGCAAAGAAATTGGTTACTGAAAACAGTGGAATTGTAAAGATAGTTATTCTTTTATACTCAATTAAAATATATAAACCCACATTTTTTCCCTGCTTTTGAGACAGTATCCCCCCACACAAAATTCTTGATTAACTGGATTGACTTTATTTTAAGGCAACTAGCAGTGTAACTACTAGCCTGGTTTCTCCACCATCTACTAAATTCAGTAGTGGAAAACAGCTTATACTAAATACTCCAACTATTCAAGGGGCAACTTCAAGTCAAACTCTTCAGCAAATGATTACAGGAGAAAGATATTAATAAGCTACAGCAGTAAGTAATCCTAGGTGAATACTACTGGTGAACTTAAGCAAAAAAATTAATATTAAAAATGTATAATGTTGATATTCATGTACACAACAGTTATAAATTCAGCACATATACCTCCATTCAGGGAACTGTTTAAGCATATAGGTATAGGTCCTTTAGTCACAAGTAGTCCCAATTAAATCAATGGGATTAATCATGAGTTTTCAGGTAGTTACATACGTATATGCATGCCCTAAAAATCAAAATCACACATTTTTGGACTGCAACCAACAACAGTAGAAAAACCTAAGCCAAAAAATAAAAAAAAAATTTTGACAAGCTTGAAAAGCAGTTAGTTAAGTAAGAACATTTCTTTGCTATAATATCAACACAAGCAAATATAGCATTCCAAAGAAAGAAAATCAGCTCAGAAAACTAATGAGAGAGATGCACAGCACACTGACTTGTAAATCACTGGCTTGAGTCCATCTCAGTCTGCACTGAACATGGGTTGCCTTTGTGAAATAAATGAAACTAATCTGCTTCATAGTGGACATCTCAAGAGCACAAAAGAAATCACCACAATTGACATCATTGTTGAACACATGAGAAGAGAACCCATAGAACTGCATGGCCAAGGAATGGATTCCATTATAAAGTCTACAGAAAACTCTCCTCAGAGTTCCTTGCACAATGTTAGAAGTAGCTTATTGGAATAGATTTGGATCTACTGAAAGGGCATTACAAGGAGGTCTCCATTTTTCCTGTGCTTTTCCCCCCTCTGGGACTCCCAGTTTACCACTACCTTTCCCAAAACACCAAGCTCTCTCAAATATGTCTAGTAACACAAAAATAAATTGCTCAAAGGAGAGATTTGCATGCTTCAAGCAGTAAGAACTGTAGTGGGAAATGAAAAGAAAGAGGTCTCTACATGGATAAACTTCCACCCCAAGATGCATCCATCTGTATATGCATGTTTGTTGCTATGCTATTTAAAACACTATTTAAAAAAAAAAAACTAAGCAAATTCTAAACTAGGGGCAGCAACAAGAATTACAAACATGTTTATACACATACTCTTACACAGAACACATTTATATGGGGGGGGAGGTGAGGAGGGGAAGACTCATGGGGAAAAATCCTGCACTTTTCTTGTTGTCTTATGAAAAAGTAGTAAACTAAATTGAAAGAGTGAAAGACTGTTGCAAACTGACCTCCATAAAGGTAAATTATCTTGTATCATGTTTAGCATTCTATTCAGATTTGAAGTTGCTTATTCAATTTATTAAGTAACACAGATGTTTCACTATGAGGGGAAAAAAAAGAACTGGAAACCTCTCCTGAGGCATGTCTAATGAGCCATTATGACAGCAATTAAACACTAACCCAATGTCTAATGAGCCATTATGACAGCAATTAAATAATAACCCCCCAGCAGCCTGTAACAACTGACATTGCTACAGTATGTTTCTTCATCCTCATTAATTATACAAAAGTTAAATTTACAAGGGAAGTTTGATGAAACTAAAAATGGAGCTGTTAGAAATGGTTGGGAAATACTAAATCATCGAGCCTGAAATATTGTGGGTTTGATGAACCTGTGCCAGATCCAACATAATGCTGTCCCCTCCCCGCAGCCTACCTCCCCCACAAACCCAGCCTGTATTCCTGGCAGGCAGCCCAGGTCAAGGCACCTGGCATTTTCAGGGCCTGTGCGTGGCTCTAGGGTAGCAAGCCATGCCAGCACTTTCAGGCTCTTTGCCACAGAGCTGGGAGCCTAAAAGTCCTGGCTCTAACCAGAGGGATCCCAAACAGCTGCTCAATGAAACTGATAATCCCGTAATCACAGGTTGTTTCTGAAATGAAATATAGGCCCCCACACCCTGCAGCTGTTCAGTGAATCAGATAGTCAACAGAAGAAACTCTGAGCAAAGGCGAAGCCTGGGCACAGAATACTTCACTGCAGAAGCCCCCGCCCTCCCCCGGTGTCAGTGTTTCTGAAACAGTTTTCTAGAATTTCTCCCTTGTAACTTTTGCAAAATTTTGTTTCATTCAAACCAAACCAAAATTAAAAAAAGATGCTATTACCCTCCAAACAGAAAATCCTGAGTTTTGCTCAGCTTTACTAATGATGAAAGAGAAACCCAGGGCTACCTTTTTACTGAGTTAGCTTGCTATCAACTACCCTTCAGCTAAGAATGACAAAGATAGCAGGTTATGTGTTGATCTCAGGCTGGAGTAAATCAGAAGACTCTACAGGGAAGTTAATGGGGATATGCTGGTCTAAATATCAGTATATAATTGGCACTTCTCTTTTGATTCTTCCTTCTTTCTTTGCAGCTGCATCTGAAAAGTATGCCCCATTGTAGCTACAAGGTTCTTTGGGTAAACCTGATATCTTTTATTAGACCAACTCAAATAGCATTTGAGAACTCCCCTATGGCAGGTGCCGTTTTACTTTCCCCTCCCCTAGATGGAGATAAATTCTATTCTTGTACCCTCCCCAACTCACCCCCCATCCCTCTGACTTAGGGGAAGGTAGGGAGAGGTGGCTGCCAAAGAGGAGGGTGGTGGCCTGTGGTGCAGCTGCGTTGCAAGCATCTGGCCTGTGGCTCTAAAAATTTGAGCTCCACTGATCTTGAATGAGGAATGACTCTCCTCCTTTCCATTTCTCAAGCCAAATTGATTATTCAGGGCACATGTTGAAGTAAAAACAACCGTCCTCTCTTTTTCCAGACAACTGATGTAGGTGCTAGATAAAACTTCCCCAAGTTGTGTCACCTGGAATTCTCACACTTTTTCCTAGCACTTTAATTTCTGTAAGCGAGAGAATGGGGTCAGCTTTCACTGGCATTAAGCCCAACAGACTCCCAATAATGATAAAACACTATGACAGTTGGGATTTTACTTTGTGACCCAGACACTAATCATTAAGAAGCAGTTTGAGATTACAAGTTTGTTTGTTTGGGGGGTTTTTGGCCAGCCACGATCAGGTGGCAATGCTTTGTAACAGGGGTGCAATTGGGACACTTGACTAAATGCTATCCATGGCATTTTGTCCTTTTTTATTTAAGAAAATGGCTCAGAAGGGAACCTTATAAAAAACACCTCATACATCATAAAACTTCAGACGGTCACTAATACAACTTCCAGCTGCTGCCTGGCCTCATATTTTCCTATGCTGAGTGGAAACCACCTGCCCAGTATTCTTCTCCTCCTCATTGGATCTTGCATTTGCAAATGGCTTACAATTAGGAGTCAGCAAATGCAGCCACTAGTAAACATGGCACAGATCCTAAGGACTCCTGTGTAACCTTCCCATGCGCAAGAATTAAGCCCATAAAGAGCATCACCTGTATCTTTTTAAAACAGTACCCTAGGGAATGACATCACTGAAAGCAAGCAAAAGATGAACACAAATGGTAAATGGCAAACCATAAAGACCATAAGGAAAGCCATACTTATTGTCTACAGATTGACCTATGATCGTACCTGCCATGCTGTGAGACAAGAAGTGCACATGAGATGTCCACAAGGCTCGATCTTCACATCTTTATCATTTTCTGCACAGATTTTACAAAGCTGGAAAGTGGATCCCATTTCACAATACAATTCGTACTGTTCCTATAAAGAAAGAAGTTAAAAGTTAGTGCTGCGCTAGTGTGATCAGTACATGGTAAATGTGCTTAAATACTATTTACAGTAATCATTAGACTTCACCCACTCTCCAAATTCTCTTTTCAAAGTAAAGGGCACTATTGTTATAGATCTACTTGATAGTCATAATGAGGTTCTTGAAAATCCTACTTTTTCCTGCTTAAAAGGTTAAGCCATATTATAAATGGCATTATAAGCACTGAATAGTTACGTTTTAAAAAAATATTTTTCCAAGTGCTATGAATAAAATTTACATTTCATGTATTTAAGCTCTCCTACTAACTTTTGTGAGTTTATCCAAATCATAAAAAGGAACAATTATTCACTATCTGCTCTTTCCAATATCAAGTTTTAGGACGATTATTATTTTCCTGAATTACACACTTCAGAAAAATGCAGGGGTGGGGGGTGGAATCTAATTATAAATGCCACTGATAAGATCAACAACACGAAAAAACAGTGGACTGCACAGGTTTATTCGCGACTTTCAGGATTTACATTTATAAACAGTTCTGGGATGCTTTAGCTCCAGAAGTGCAGCTTAGATTTCAGGAAGCTGGTGACCCGATTTTACCCGGTATGGGGTTATTAAAGGGAGATATGTCTTTATCAATCGTTATTTCAGCACAAAGGGAAGAATCCAGCCTTTCTTGGCTGTCATTTAGAAGAAGATAATGAAAAAAGGTCTTGGGTTGGCAGGAAAGAAGAAAAGAATGATTATGAGTAATGCCTAACCAGAGATTTTGATTTTTAGTATGACTCTAGTACTGGTGAAAGTCACTGGATTGACAGCTGTGAGGACACAGTCCTATATTCACAAAAAAGATGCAGTATGTTCTGCACATGTTAAACTGCCCCAATCTGTCCCATGTGGCTCAAATCTCCTATGGAGAGACCACATCTCAGGATGAAAACAGACTCAATCTGCATGGTCTGTTCAATCCTTAATGTCCTAAAACTGCTAACAAGGCTGCCATCTGTGATGGTAGTTTAAGAACATGTCTACACAGCAAAATGTAGGTGTGATTGTAGCTTAATCTAGCTACAGGATATCCTCAATTATCCAAACCCCTCTGGAAAGCATCTGCAGATAAGCCATCTGGAGAGCTGAATTAATTCAATAAGTGAAACAATCAGAAAAACAGAGTAGATGTACAGTGCTATAGTACAGGGCTTCCCAACTGGTGGCCCGCAGGTCACACATGACTCCCTGAAGGGTTAAGCATGTGGAACATGGACCCCAGGCATGGCTGGCACTGCACCCTATGCTGTTGCTCCTGCCACACCAGCCTGGTTTGCTGGGCTCCCCTGCTGTCCTGTGGCTTCTACATCCCCCACCTCTCCACTGGGTGCAGAGCAGCAAAGCAGGAGGGAATGGAGATGGCCAAGTCATGCATACAAGAGGGGTGCAATGCTGTGCATGCAGCAGAGGAAGAAGGTGGACTTCCTGTAGTGCATGCAAGAAAGGCAGGAAGCAGGCTACCTACACAAGAAGCACGGTTGGAGGATGGGCGTGGGTAGCAATACCAGTGAAAATGTGGCAACACTGACTTGGCACTTGCAGGCAACGTCGTACATACCGAAAGTACCTGGAGAGTTTCTACCCTTATTGTTAAAACACATGCTAAGAAACTCAGCATCTGCCATTGCTAGTGTTATTCATGCTACCCTGATTAGGCTAGTACGGCCATTTTTCTATGCAGACATACCCTCAGTAATGAGTGCCCTCATCTACTGGGGAGTGAAGCTCAGGTTTCCATTTCCAGAGGTCACCAAGTAACCTTTGATAAAACTGGAAGGAGTTCATTTTAATCTTTCCTGCTATATTCCCTTTTCTAGAGCAGGGACACACCCCTCCCCCCCTAAGCTGTTTGTACAGTGCTTACCACCATGGGAGCCAGAATCAATTGGGGCTCCTAGGGTCTATCACAATAAAACCAGTAAACAGTATGTGAAACGGAGGTGTAGAAGAATTTTTCACAATTAGTAAAAGCAATGAAGTTTCATAAACAAATCAGACCAGTGGTGCCCAACTTCTCAGAGCCCACAAGCCCACTCTGACACACAGAGCTGCATCTGGCTTTGGGGCTACCCACAAATCCAGAAATTTGGTGGCAGGATGAAAAGCAGCACTGTTAACTGCCACAGCTCTGGGAGCCATGGCAACTAATGCTGTCACTGCTCCCTCACCACCAAATACTGGACCCACTGGTAGCCCCACAGACCAAATCTTGGTCACCACCCCAAAGTTAGACTACAGCAGTTTTTTTAATACTAAAAAAACCTGAAGGTTAAAATATTCAGGAAACATGGTATAAAACAGGAGTCTGAGACCAAGAGCAACAGGCAGGCAGAACAAAGTACTGGGGGAATCTAAACAGTAAGGAATATAACCCAGATTATGAGACTGTAGCACATGTGCACTAGGAGTAGGTATGATGATGCCCCACAAAGGAGTCACCTGAAACAACATGATTTGGAAGGAAGTTCTACACTATCCTTGTCATAGCTATACCACCCACAGGACTGCTCTAAACTCTAACCGTTAAGCATAACTCACATGATCACCAGAGTACAGGCAGTTTATCTGCTGCTCACTCCCAACAGCAGAACACAGCAGGGTACTCTGGGTTTATGCTTTTTAAGAATTCCTTCATTCCAGAGCTACAACATCAAATGGTTAAAGGCAGTCTTTCAGCTACCAGAGAAGAAAGACCTAACAAGTTGATGGGTCTTTCTTCCAGTCCCAGTAGAAGAATGCGCCACAGTGTAATCTAAGGAGTTGCAGGTGGACTGAAATTTCTTCCACTTGTGTTGAAAAAGTCACTCAGACATTTTCTGATAGCTAGATTTCAATCTACCCAATTTAAAATCTCAAACCCTTTATTTCAAAATCAAACCCATTTGTATCCTGGAAGGTTTTCTCCCTCTAATTTCAAATATCTTGAGATAGGTATCATGTCATTACTTAGCTGAACTACAGAGACATTTTAATTTTTCCTTGTAAGTCAAGCCACACTACCTAAATCATTCCTGTGGCTTCCCCCTTTTCCACCAGTTTGCCCATCATGCACACAAGAGAAATAAGAGATGTAATAGGAAATGGTGACCGAATGGCAACATCAGTATTTTTTTTTCTTCTGCACTGTCAGCAAGCTATACAATTGCATATTCAGACTTCAAAAGCACCACACCAAAAAACTTATTTCCCTAGCTGGACTTCACTATAATATATAAATAAATAATACATAAATAAATTAAATTAAATCTGCACAAACCTTCAATATGTACTGCAGAAAATATTTTGGAACAGCAAAAATATGTTCTTCCCCAAGAAGGCCTAAAATGGACACACCTTTCCTAGAATCCTCCTCTGCATTAGCTTTAGGAGTTACAGCTTACCATCTTGATTATCAAAGTCTTTTTTGTCCATGGCATATTTAACTCATGAATCTCTTCAATATGAGTAAAGGCTTACAGCTGCCTAAAGGGGCATAACGTAAGTGATGATGTTGTATTAACTTGTAACCTGTAACATACCTGTGTAACTTTTATATGATCATGTGGCATGGGTTCACACAATCCTGTCAGATCAGGATTATAACTTCGTCCATCTGGGTACAGATAGCTAAAATACAAAATAAGTTATTAGTAGTACAGTATTTATTTTCCCCACAGCTTTCATAGCTAACAAAAATCTTTGAAACATTGCACAGCAAACATGGTAATAACAGATAATGGTTAAAACACTTCTATATCTGTCGTGCACTTCCTTGTCTCCATTTCTTGGGGCAACTTCTTTTCACAGTTTGATAAATAAAATATTCACCAAACCATTCTGGGGACATGCACATAATGAGGTATACATTGTTACTGATCATTGGTCAACTCAAAAATTTTGTAAAATGGCAGTTGGTCAAACACAATTAAATTATACTAAGTTATCCATAACACTTATTTCTGGATATACAGAGGGGTTTGTACACAGCCTCACAGACTTTAATACCACCTGCACACTTGAGTGACTCACTGTGATGCAGCTAAGAATTGAGCAAAATGGAGAATTCAGCAGATGTAATAGCAGAAAAGAATACTGTGCTACTATTTTGTGTGTGTCTACATAAAAAGGAAGCTGCATTTAGAATCTAGGACAAGGGCTTGAACTTTAAACATAGAATAGATAGGACTATTAAGCTACTAAACTATTTGGGTGAAGAAAAATCACTCACGATATTATGGAAAGACCAGCTGCATCTCTATAGTTTGTTCAGATGCATTTTCCACCAAAGCCAGGAATTTAATTTTTTTGTAAGTGACTCTTCTTTTTAGGTACAATGTGAGGTAGATTAAAAAGAAAACTAACTCATCTTAAAAAAATACTTTAATCTGATTTGGGATCATAAGTCTTAAAATGGATTAATACTAATTGTGTAGTTACTTTATGGTGCCATTAAAGAACAGAATTTAGGCTGTGTGCACCAAACCTGTATTGCCAGGGATGGCAGGCCTAAACTTGCTTTAGGCCAGACCACGGGGCTCCTTGTGGGCCAGAAATGGGGTAGTAGCATCAGGGCTGGTGGGGCAAGCTGCCACTCACTGTGGCAATAGCCATGAGCTAAGCAATCACAGAGTGCAGGCCATGTACCCAACTACCCTAGTCTGCCAAACCACATGGAGCAGCTCTGTGGGCCAGATCTGGCCCACTATCTGTATGTTTAACATCTGCCATAATGTATCTAATGTACTTAACATTGATCTGAAGTCTAACATTCGAATTTCAGATACTCGGCTATATTCCTCTAACATACATTTCAATAAACCTGATGAGGGTAGTCTCAATTTCAACTCCACTTTACTGTAGTTCTGGTCTAGGAATATTATAACAGCAAGTGCAATAGGTATGCTTAGTCTCACAGGGCAACAATCCTGACATGGTAGAGAGAGAAACTGCTATGAACTTCTAAATTAACCTTTTCAGAATACAGGGTTCTAGATTGTAGCCGTGTTGGTCTAAGGACATAGGAAGACAAGGTTCTTTGGGTGAATCTGATATCTATTATTAGATCAACTTAAATTGTTGGAAAGAAAATTTAAGCAAGCTTTCGAGTTTTAAAACCGTTTGTCAGGCTGAGGAGGTATCTGCAGTTGGTGTGTGCTCTTTGTGGATGGAATGAAAAGTAAAGAAGCCAGAGGCTGGGCTGGTATGCATACAAGACAGGCAGTCAGTGAAGATGTAAACTGAGGAGTCAGTGAGTGACAGGCTGGGTGGGAAGAACAGATACTTCCTCAGCCTGAAAAAGGATTTTTAAAACCAAAGGCTTTCTTAAAATTTTTTTCCAACTATTTAAGCTGGTCTAATAAAAAGGTATCAGATTCACCCAAAGAACCTTGTCTGCCTTTTTAGAATAAGGTTTTCGAGTTAAAGTAGAAATCTTTTAATACTAAAATGAACCCAAAACTGTTAACAGACGCTCACTAAAAGTAGCAAAGTAACTCAATAAAAATGGCACTTGCCATTTAGTATCAACGTACTTAGAAAAAAATGACAGCTTTGCACAAACAGCTTCATAAAAAGCAAGCTTCTAAAATGCTTTTTCTTGAAACACAGATGTTTGTTTACACACACACACACACACTTTGTAATAACTACTGAAAACCTGAGGTTTTTTAGCTTACGAAACACATTGTCTGGTATTGGGCACAGAAGCAACTAGCAGAACTAATTGCTTGATCAGCTTAAGTGAACTTGTGACTCTTATATTAGACAAAATCTAAGTGACAACTCCCCAGTCTCATTTTGTTGGAATTTATTTGCCATGAAATATGGTTAACTTTGGTTAACGGAATTATTTTGAAACAAGTGTTTTATAGATTGATGTAAGTGATGGTCATGAATTTCCAAATTAATTCAAACACTATATCATATATTGCTTCTAACATTTTATAGCATATTCTGATGCTTCAGATTAGTAATTAGAAAAGCAATTAATCAATACTTTATACTTAAAACGAAGGCATTCATTTATACTTACAATCCTTCCCGGCTGCCATCAATTAGAGCTTGAAATAAAGGCTTATTATGAGGTATAGTCTGCAAAATGTTCCCATCACCAGTTACATATCCAATGGCCCACTGTCCCAGTCGAGTGCAACTCAGCCTGAAAATATAGCTAGAGGAAAATGGAATAAGAGAAAAGTCAATTCTAACCACAATCTGGCAAAATATGTAAAGGGAAGAAGGATGACCCAATGGTAAAGGCACTGAGTTAGGGCTCAGATCTGTACCATGTTCTCAGCTATGCTACACACTTCTTTGGATAAATTACTCACTTTCGTGCTCAGTTCATCACATGCAAAATGGAAATAAATAATTGTTCTTTTATCTCCATGTTTTGCCTATCTTGTCTGCTTAGGATCCAATTTTAAGAACTCTCGCATTCTTGAACAATATGAATATTTGCACTGCATAAATGTGAGCTTGTCAGAGCCCTGTTAGCTTCTCATAGCAATGATCAGTTATATATATTTTGTAGCATGACACCCCTGCATTAAGAGCGGGGGAGGGACAGAGGGAAGGGAGAGGACACAATAACCTAGAGGTGGGCAAAATGTAACCCGCGGGCCAGATGTGGCCTGCCAGGCAATTCTATCTGGCCCGTGAGGCCCCTAAAAAATTTGGAAAATGAATATTTATCTGTCCCTGGCTGCTGTCATGAGTTTTGCCAAAACTCAGTAAGCAGCCCTCCGCCCGAAATAATTGACCACTCCTGGCTTAGATGGTAGCATTTTCCCATAATGATGATGATGATAACAATAATAATAGTAGTACTTAAAAAACAGATGCTGAAAATAATTTGATTAAGAAAAATCTTCCTAAAAATCCAGAAAAAAAATTAGAAATAAGACCATGTATAAAAAAGAAGAAAAATGTTTTTTACATTATTCAAAACGTTAGTAACATTGGTTGTTGTTATTGCATTCCAATACATATAAACATCACTGAGTAGCAGAGTTTTCTAATTATAACCTGCAATTTAGAGACTCATGATACATTACACCTCAGGAAAACATGCACAGCAAAACTCAAAATTATGTAAAATTACTTTTTAAAACAAATTGAATTAAATATAATACTATTTGAACTTTCTTTAGAAATATATGTAGGTACTTCTGTATAGTTAGAGTAGCTATTGGGGTGTGTGCGTGTAGGGGGTATTTATGAAGGTGTGGATGGGGGTGTGGGTATGGGACTATGTAGGGCTTGGGGGGGCTGTGAAGGGGTGTGGTATGTGGGGTGTTTGTAGGTGGGTGTGCTCCCCCCCACATGGTGCGCAGCCTCCACCACTGGTGGCTCAGCACCAGCAAGCACTGGGTGCTCGTGGTCACAACAAGCAGAGCTTCTGGCAGCATGCACCTCCAGCTGAGTCTCAGGGCCTGCACATGCTGCTACAAAGTCAGTCTGGTCCACTGGTGCAACCCTTTGTACCAGACCAGGCTGGTTCTGTACCAGCCTATGCGGCTCACAGCACTGCAGGCAGGAGGTGCACACCAAATCGAGCCAGCCAGGCTCTGTGGCTCCATGTGCAGCTTTCCTCTGGCACGCTGGAAGCCACATATGGAGGCATGGATCTGGCTGGCCCAGCCCAATGGAGTTAAAGTAACTCCACTGGGCTGGAAGCTGTGCGCTATCAGGCCAGAAGAGCTCAGTGCCTCAGTGTGAGGCTTCTAGCACTCCAGTGCCAAGCCGCATGTGAAAACAAGCATGAACCCACCTAGCCCAATGGCATGCGACTCCGTGCCTCCATGTGTAGCTTCCTGCCTGGCCCGATGGTGTGTAGCTCCTGGTCCACATGCCATCAGACCCAGCTGGCCCTCCATGTGGGGCTTTCAGCACTCCAGCGGGAAGATACACATGGGGGCATGGAGCCGTTCACCATTAGGCCGGGAGGACTCCATGCCTCCACGTGAGGTTTGCCACTGAAGTGCTTGAAACCCCATGTGGAGGCACTGAACAGATGCGGTCCATACCGTTACCAGATTTGCCCATCCCTTTGGGGTACACATTTATTAAGGGTATGTTTCTGGGGTGCTGTAATTCTATCAATGTGCTCCTTGTGTCACTTGTGTTTCTATATGGAGCTGCGTCTCTCGCGCAAGTTTTCACCCACAACGGAGCTAGCTTGCAGGGTTTAGTTTCAATGGGGCTTGGTTTCTCCAGCTACTAAATCGAACACATACACCAAGGGCGGGCAATTATTTCAGGCGGAGGGCCGCTTACTGAGTTTTGGCAAGCCATCAAGGGCTGCATGACAGGCAGCCAGGGGCAGATAAATATTCATTTTCTACGTTTCTTAGGGGCCCCACGAGCCAGATAGAATGACCTGGTGGGCCACATCCAACCCACGGGCCACATTTTGCCCACCCCTGATCCAAGCTGGCTTGACAAAGGCACTTCACGTAACCAAAAATTCAAAAACACAGAATATGTACAGCCAAACACCCTTCTCTTCTCAAACAGAAAAATTATATTAGAAAATAACCTGGAAACATTTTCTATTGGAACAATAGGGTGCGAGGTAGAAAAATGATTTAATGAAAAATTCTTCTAAAAAAAGTGGCCTAACTGAAAAATCCCAACAAGCTGTAGCATTTTAAATAGTAGGCTTTAAAAAAAAATAGTTATCAGAGTTTCTGCTGTTACACCAGGCTGCCATCTGCTTCATCTAGAAGTAGCTGAAGTTCAGTCAGGTTGTAAGTGCCATGCACATAAACACTGCACAAGAAAATTGATAGGAAAAATATGGGAAAGAATACCAAAATGTATTTATTTTTCCCTTACTGAAAATCATAGAACCTTCAGTATCAGGTGACAGCCTAGATTTTAAAACTTCATCCAGGAAACCCACCCATGTTAAGATGACAAAAACACTCAGTTTTGTAGCATGAAATATCTTTGCTTAATTAAGTCTAAGTTGTATTTCCTTCCTGTGAAGTCCTGGCTTCACTGAAATTAAATTAATGACAAAGCTCACACAGACTTCAGTGGGTTCAAGATTTTACTCTGTAAATAATTTGATCCTATTTATTTAAACAAAAGCATTGTCGTTTCCAGGGCTTCTTAAAGAAAATAAACTAGCAATTTTTGCTTTACATGAGTCATTTCACCTTGTCAGGTCCATCATATCAATGAAGTAAAACTTCCCTCCTGATATCAGACAGAAAGAGAAAAGCTGATGTTAAAATTAACTCAGCCTAACAAGGAACAGTTCTGGATAAGATTCTCCTAGCACAATTTTACTTTAACTCCAGAAACAGGATGATTAAAAAAAAAAAAAATCAAAATAAGCTACAGTGCGCTACTCTCAAAAATCACCCTGATCTCTTTATTTAGATTTTGTTGCATGTTAATGGGATTGAGAACAGTATTGACATCCTGTTGACAAAGTAGTTTATAGGACAGGTAACCTAAAACAAAACCAACCTTATATCTTAAGAGCAGAAAGCCCTGTATTAATTTAATTTACTTTTCTCATGATATTTTTGCACTCTGTCACCACTTTCAAAAAAGCAAGTTTAAGTTAGATTTAACTGTGCACCTGCAGTGTTAGGATTCTAAACATTAGTGCATAAGACATGAGAAGCAGAAAATGAAACCGACTAGAAAATAAATGAACAAGAATGAAACTGCCTAGACCTAATGAAGGGGAAAGAAAGTAGGACAGCATGAACTGTGGAAATTGGAGGCATAAATGGTAAAAGTTCAGTCTGAATTATTTAGTATAGATGGTAAGGCACACAGAGGTTATTTTAAAAAAACGACATGAGTATGTCATAATTTTTAATCAAACAGCCTTCTTTTTGATACCTATAACCTCCTGATACAAAGTCACAACTGATAAAGTTGGTATATGCATTAAACAGCAATATTAACTGCTCATTATAATATGCAAAAAAGTCTGATTAAAAAGTTATTTTTTCCTGTAATTGATGCCAACTAATCATATCTTGGGAAGCAAGTTTCTTTAAAGAAATCTCTTTTTATATAACACTTTTTCAGCTAAGTGAAAAAAAAATAAATGGACAAAACACTAGTTAGTTCACTTTTGTTCTCCTAGCTATTTGTAATTGGTTTGATTTATTGATTTTATGAACTTGTACAAAATTGTTTGGTTCGCAATGCTAGAGGAATGTTTTAATTATAGAAATAATAGACCTTAGTCACAAAATTTGAATGCAGACATGAAAAACCCAGATGTCAGTGGTTTTGAATCTGGATGAGCATTTTTTAAATCTGAATGTTGTGCCTAAAACTACTTTTCAGTGTGCCTTCAATTAATCTGAAAAGGAATTAAGGAGTTCTTTACAAATTAATCTGAAAATATGGAAAATACAGTGTAATAGTAAGCCTGATTATTAAGAATTCTGTTCGAGTTTTCCTTCACTAGGTACAAAATCAAAATACCACTGACTTGAGACAGGTGCAGGACCACTCAGAGTTCCAATTCCTGATTTTATTACAAGTCTCATCTGGCATTTTCTATACAATCTGAACTCCTGAGGTTGGGTGGATCTCAGGACTATATTTGCTCAAAAAAAAAGCCTCTTTGCTGCCCTAGTGAGTGTTGAAAAGAAGCGTGGTAGCTTGACTTAGAATTTTGGGGTGCTTTCAATTTGCATTCCTGTTTGGAAAAAGCAGTTTGATTTTGGCTTCAACAACAGTTTGTCACTGAATATATATCTACATGCATGAATACATACATCAGTATATAACACCTACATCAGTATATAAAAGAAATATACTGCTAATCTTGGTTTATATCTGAGAAAAATATAAAAACAATTCTCTGTATGCATGTCTGCATATATATATAAATGATATCTTAAAAACCAATCAGCTTGACTTTGACATGGAAAGAAAAGTTGTCAGCTAATTAAGTTACAAATTCATTCCCCCAGTACCACATAACTGGCATATGACCTAATAGTGTGGATGCAGTGAATTATTTAGTTTTAGAAGAAGTAAGTTATTTTGGAAAGCAGTGATCAACAAAACCTTACCTCCCCGGTTTAGTGCTGTATTTCTGTAACCTTGCTTTGACTTCATCATAGGTTAGGAATGCCATATAACCAGGATGCGTCACAGCTAAAAAGTTCCAGTTTCTTAAGATTGAACCCCAAGGCTAAAAAAGAAAGCATAAATAATTAAATGATAAATCCAATCAGTTATGAGTCTGTTCCACTTAAAAAAACAAAACAAAACAAAACAACCCTTACTCCTCTCAAACACTGAAACTTTTCAAGTTAAAACATACATGTGTGACACTATAGCTGTGCACGGTCTGCATTATGCAGACTTTCAAGTGTGCTTAATGTCCTGCAGCATGAAGCTGTCCTTCAATGGAACCATTCAAAGTATATCAAGATAAGCAATCACCCAAGACCAAGAGCAAAGAGATCCTGGATGACTTCACTAGGACTACCCATAGTATTAAGTGTACTGACTAGGGCTGTGCGAAGCTTTGGTCACCGATTCGATTCAGAGGAGAGTCAGCCTGATTCGGCAGCTGAATCTCCAAATTCGAATCGAATCAGGAGACCCATTAATCTCTCCGAATTGAATTGGAAGCCTCCGATTTGATTTGGAGAGATTCAGCGATTTGGCCATAGACCCAGCTTTATATGTTTTTTCTACATACCTTGAGGTACCAGGCACAACTCGTGAACACCGAGATGGTGAGACAGATGGAGCATCCCACGGGAGCACAGTTGGGTGGCGGGGTGCACCGTATGCTTGGCGGTGGAGCCAGAAGTGGACCAGAAGTACTTCCAGTCCGCCGCTGAGCACATGGGGGACCCCTCTGCGCTCCGGTGGGATGCTCCATTGGCCCCACCATGTCAATGTTCATGAGCCACACCTGGTACCTCAAGCCACGTAGAAAAAAAACCCAAACAAACCATAAAGCTGTGTCTATGGCTAAATCTCTGATTCTCTAAATCACAATCAAATCTTCACATTCAGATTCAGCCGAATCAAAATTGGGACAGTGATCCAAATCAGCGAATTGAATCACTGTCCCCCGAATCAGGCTGAATCAAAATCCAAATCCAATACTGCCTGCTTTGCACATCCCTAGTACTGACTGATAAGTGTCTGCAGAATCAAACCCCAACATAGTGTCAGAGCTGTCTCATGAAAAATGAAAGGTTAGTATAGACACAGCAAAGAAACATGGCATAACTTTAGTTTTCCATTAGCAATAACATGACATTTGCCACCACTGCAGTATTTACTCTGCTTTGTCTTCAATATGTTCCCTCGCTGTGCACCACCCTTGACTATTCAGAGAATAAGCTCTTCAGAACAGGAACCATCTACTCATTACATTATGCTTGTACAGTACCTAATACAATGAGGCCCCCCAGTCCTAGGAGGCCCTCAGTCATTACCCTAATAAACTTAATAATGGACTAAATCTAGTAATGCAATGATTTGACTTGATACCCATGTATTATTCCATATCTCTTGATCCTGTCACTTGCCATGCCAGCATAAATGTCCAGGAAATAAGATGGATAGTAACACTATGGCTTGAGGGAAGGAATGAATCATCATGGCAACCACTGCTACAAACAGTTGGCAGTGAAACGCACCCAACGTGTCAGGCTGTTACCTCAATCAAAGCAAAAAAATCCTTTACCCTAAAATAATATGTGGTTTAGGTATTTAAAAAAACCCAACCAAACAGTAAATATTCAACACCAACATCTGGAAATACAGAATATTGCCACTACATGGTTATAAAGAGAGAGGGGAGTTTAGGGATAGAGATATGAAATAAAACACACAGAACTTGAGCCTCTCATGTCAGTACTCTCGTATCATGCAAGTTCCATTTACCTTAGGACATTTTTTGAAGACCAGTGAAATGGAGATAAAATGTGCTCATTCTGAAGGTTATATAATAACTATTCTTCAAGACCCCTGTTCAAGATTCAGAACAAATCTTACAGGCAAAAATCTAACCTCCAAATATTTAAACAAAAGAAAAATATTAACAAAACAAAACATTTCTATGAAGAACTTTTCACACTGAATAGTCAAGACCAAATTATGGATATTTAACAAAGTGGCCTAAGACAGCTAGAGTGTTTTCATTTTACATTTGAAAGAATTTATCACATTTGCACAAACAGCTTGTGTAAGAGAAATGCAAAATGTAAAAGAAAGAGAGAGAAAAGGCGTAGTTTTTCTGACTGAACATACCTCCCTATTTCTTCACGGTCAGGGACAACAGAATAATATGTACTGATCTTGAGTGCTATCATGCTTAACCAAAACCAGAATGTTATTTGCATTAAATATGAGGAAGAAGAACTTCTCGCTTTTTACCAAGCCACTGCTCATCAAAATTAGTGCTTTTATTTGCAAAAAGTGTTCTGTTCATCTATGTTTATGAGGTATAGGTTGTAACCGTGTTGGTCTAAGGACATAGGCAAACAAGGTTCTTTGGGTAAATCTGATATCTTTTATTAGACCAACTCAAATAATTGGAAAAATTCTTCTTTGCAAGGTTTCGGGCAACACATACCCTTCATCAGGCTGAGGAAGCATCTGCAGTTGGTCTGTTCTGTTCCCGGATGTTCATCTATGTGCTATTATACCACTAATTTTAAACAAAACTGAATCATAGATAAAAAAAGATTATAAAAAAAAAGTCAGTACTGTAAAAGTATGTTTGATTGCCATGACACAAAGCCTATTGTAGCAAGTGATTTAAAAAGAAAAATCACCCACTACTAGAATTTGTACACACATTTATTGGTTAGTCATATCTGGCAAATGACTATATGGTACACATTCTCCACTAGTTGATGATCTCCCTGGAATAGTTGTGCCCAACATTATAGCCCCATAGGCCACATGAATGACATGTGGTCAGTCCATGGGCTGGAACCCACATACCCAGACCCATCTGTACACTGGAGTGATCTAGCATGCAGGGCTATGTGATTTAGCCCAGACGTCTCCCCACAGGTGTGAAAATGTGGCAGCAGGAGAGTGGCTATTAATACTGCCACCACTCCCTTGCCACCAATTTTCCAGAGCCTTGGGGAAGCTCATGGACTGGATGATATAGGTCCGCAGGCTCAATCTGGTTCACACATCTAAGGTGGAGCACCTTGTCCTACAAGATGAGTTTATTGCTGTACCAAAAAGAAAAAATAAAAGATTTGGCAATAAAAAAGAATATTGATAAACAAAATTTACTGGCATCACCGCTTGGACACATGCTCACAATAATATGGAAGTTGAAGTTACCGCGGGGAAAAAGCATTTGCACATTTGTTTTTCCATGTAAATACCTTTTATACAAAAAGACTATGCAGAGATGGATCTGTCTATAATGATTAGATGAAGTCCCTGTGTTTTTAAAATATTAAAATTCAACTATTCCAACTACAGCTTTGGTAATAGAAAGCCTGCATTTATAGCAATGTTGATCCATGTAGAAAAACAACAACTTCACTTATCAAAGGCTATTTAAAAACATATGCCACAGAAATACAGAAGTTAAACTGTATCTTAAAAATTTGGGGGAAGGAAGTGCTGCTACAATTGCTACAGATTCTTTGCTACTGTACTATCTAGTCAGTGGACCTACACAGATATACACCAGCTGGTAACATGCCTCTAAATCTGGTTAGCAAGATTTCTCTACTTGTTTTAAAGGGTTTCTCTTTAAATTAAAATGTTAATCCTAACCACTCTCTACATCTTACATAATCAGTCCTGCTAATCCTCTTCAGCACCGACAATGGTACTGAAACATAGCAGCAATGCTCTGACAACACAGTAAATATGGAAACTAACAGAATCAGATATTTGATGGTTTATGACTCAAGGACAATAAAACCAAGTTCTAACTGCCATCCTTAAGTCTGCAGTGTAGAGCAAGCTATAAGACCCCCACAGAGTCCAAACAAAATGCCTGCCCTTTCTATTTTATGTTTAATATAGAGAATAAAAGAGTAACAAGGCATGTTTGTTGCACAGAGAAAAAAAAGAAGGGCTTCCCTAAAAGAAATAACCATACAGCTTTCCAAACCACATTTAGTTAGTATTGTTGTTAGTTGGATTGTTCCTTTTTTGACTTTCTAGCAATCAACTACCAAACCAAGATTTGAGTCTTAAAAAAAACAGCCTAGGTCAGGGGTAGGCAACGTTTTCTGGCAGGGAACAGAATGACCCAGCTCAGGTCTGATGTGGGTAGACACTACCACTTCCCCCTGCTTCCTAGCTGTGGTGCAGATCAGACAGACTGCCCTTCCACCGCGCCCATGTGTGGCTACCCCCTCCACCAAAGCTCCAGGTGCTTGGCTGCTGCACTGTGCCAAATGCCACCAGACTGCAGGTGACAAGTTGCCAACCACTTGGCTAGACCACAGGGACACAAACCAGCTATCATTAGTCAAGCAAAGGCAAGGGTTTACAAGCATATCAGCTGCTCTATGATAACCACCCATGTATATACTCTTACCCACAGTGAATGAAAGCTGTCTTGGGGGAAGCTTGGCCCTCAGTGGAAGCTTCTTACTGAAGGAGCAATAAACTAGAAGAGCTTTTATTTACCACAGGTAAGAGTGGCCAAAGGAGTAGCTGATGTGTTGTAAGTACCTCACTTATGGCACAGTAACTTCCATGCATGCCCATAGCCCGTTTCAAAATTTTCAAGAGAATTATCTGCTGAAAAGGAAAAATTCTTGGTTTACAAAAGAAGTTGATCCAAATCAGGTAAAACTCAGCTGTTTTGATTATATTCAGCCATTAAGTGTTTTGTTAACTCAAACTCCATACAGAAATGAAATTCCTCAGGAGATGCATAACCATACAAGTGAGAGATCTGAGTAAAATGTTGACACAAACTGGCTGCATATCCTTTTAGTTTTTGCAAATAAATAATGTTTAAGAAATGCATAAAATAAATGTTAGTCAATTATTCATTTAGTGATCTCTATGAGAAAGTAAAAAGGCTTTGCTTTGACATTCTACAACTTGGCGAGTTCACATTAAAAAAACCCCACAGTGAATAATTTTTAAGGCTTCAATTAAACAGAGGGGGGAATCAAATTCAGAACTTAAAAACTTTGACAGAGATATGACTTTTTCTAGAAGATAAAACAAGAAAAGATCAGGGACCCAACTTCTGCACACTATATAAACTAACCACCTCCACAACTCACCTTTGATCCAATTTTGTAAATGTCTATAATTTCAGTAAAAACTAAACTAAAATACCAAACATGTACATGATGATACATTCTGAGTGTGGGTGTTGGACAAAAAAAAAAGCAAAATAAATTTGGAATTAAATTTCACCTTTTAAGCAAATTTCTGATAACAAATTATGCAAACGTCACATGTTGTCAATGTATATTTTAGAAAAAGGAAAAGATAGTTAATGCCCAAGTAAATGACAAGATAATCATTTCTGGGAAATAATTTCTTATCCACCATGGAGAAACCAAAGTGAAGAATCTTAATAATCTACAAGAACAAATACAGCTCCAGAATTTAAATGGTTTCCCCGTTTAGGTATTATAACATGGAATGGGCATGCTCTGATAAAAGGCATGTAGCCCAGGTACCAAAAAAAAAATGTGCATCTCAAACTTCCACAATAACTCAGTAATTCTACAGTTACTAAGAGGCTGTAACCACCTCTTTCCATTTCTCCCAAAGACAACATTTCATTAAACTTCAAAAGTAAAAGAATCAGGTCTGTATTTAACATAGAATCATTTATATGCAATGCTGTATGCATGCACATGTGTATGTGTACACACAAAGATATACATTGTATTCAAACACACATACCAAGAAACTCTAAAGTGTAACACACGTACTTTTAAAATATTTGGAACCTCTATTTCGAGAGATGCATCTGGGAAAAAAAATACTGAACCGTCACACCAATGACATGGTAACTATGTGCATTAATTACGCACACATTGTTTCATCAGAGTAGTTTTTCAAACTCTGGGCCATGATGCCCACACACGTGTACTTCCTTCCATGCGTGTTCAAGTTGCTCATGATTTTTCAACTACCTGGATTTGGTTGACCTCCTGGGGAACAGACTCATAAAATTTAAAGTCTTTTATAAATGTGGAATATTTTAAAATCTTACCTGAAATAGTCTAGTGAAGATATCAAATTCAAAAACTGAAATGTAATCATTGCAGGTCAAGTCAATGGTAGACTTCAGAGCCATTGCTTCCAAACCAGAGCTTATCTGATGAACCTCATGAAGGCACTGCCTGAACACTTTCCATGGCACTATAGTTCTGAGAGGGGGAAAAAATTTTTTAGAAAAATCTCACATTTAAAACATCATCTTATATAGGCAGCGTAATTCAAGCTTGAAATTAACATAATTATATTTGATATCATTGCAAAAACTAAAAACTTTAATTTTCTGAAAGGATTCCAACAAATGCCAGTACATCTTGCTTTCCATTAAAATGATGCTGTTAAACAAACTGTCTCATTTATTTTAGGATGTTAAATATTCAAGCCAATTTAATCTCCAACAATGGGCAATTTTAAGTGAAAACTATGC